AAGCTACTTCAGCACCTAAGCAAGATGAAGCATGGACGACGACTCTCAACCATGATGCTCACCATCGCAGCGGGCGCTACGTGGCCGAAGGCCAGAGTGCTGGAGCAGACCAGCGCCATCACCGACGGCAAGTGCCCGCGCTGCCAGGCCGCCAAGGAGACGCCGTTCCATCGCACTTGGGAATGTGCTGCCAATCAGAAGTGCCCCGTGTACGACGCCACGGCTCACATGATTGGGCAGGCCTCAGCTCAGCAGGATATGTTCGAGTGCTACTGGACAAGGGGCCTGCTGCCTCAAGCGTGGACGCAGGTCCCACCGCCAGTCAGCACATACGATTGGACCGCCCATGGCATCGAGATGTTCTCACCGCAGTGTTTCGAGGCCAATCGCACCAGCTCGGTCATGTACATTTTCGGGGACGCCAGCGGAGGAGGCGACACAGCCTCCCCAGTCCTCAGGCGCGTGGGCGTAGGCATCGCAGCCTTCCCCAGCCTCAGGATCAACGACATGCAGCTGCAGACGGCGATGTGGGGGCCCCTCCCAGGAGACAGGCAGACAGTAGTTCGAGGCGAGCTGCTAGCCCTTCTCCTCGCCATGCAGGTTTCGGAGTTAGACGTCGTTTTCATCACAGATTGCGAGGGTGTCTACCTCAACTTTTACAACGGGCATCCGAGCTCACCAGTCGGACCAGACGCAGACCTGTGGCACCAGGTGGGCGTCGAGCGAACAAGGAGATCAGGCGATTTCGTTGTGCCTTTTACCAACTCTCACGCCACGGGCGAGGACGTCGCCCTAGGCCGTGCCAATGCGTCATTTGCATATGGCAACACTGTCGCCGACGAGTTTGCAGCAGTTGCGGCCGACAGCCACCGAGTGGAAAAGCACCTCCGCCAGCAGATCCAGGGAATCGAGAATGACGCCTACCTCGTCCGCATGAGGCTCCTGAGGTCCACCTTAGAGGCCCTAGAGCTCGAGAAGGCTCAGATTCGTGAGTTACCAGCAGGAAGCCGACAGCCTAGGAGAGTGAAAGCCAAGCCTGTCCGCCCTCCCGCCCCCTCCCTGTGTGCAGTCTTCAGGTCTCCTCACCAGTTAGATGACACAGGTAGGCAATGTATTATATGTAAGGGGTCAGCCACCGCTAGCACCCGTGTTGAATGGTATGATTCAGAGTGTTTCAACCTGGAAAATGTTGATGGCACTTATATGAGACCCCCCCTGGGCAAGCAGGTTCATGTAGCAGGGGGGTGGATTCATTTAACCCATCATCCGAGGTTCCACGCTGGGCTGGGGATTTGGTTCTGCTCCACGTGCGGGAGCTACGTCTCCCAGCAGATTGGGAAGCTAGCAACGATGTGTCACCCCCCCTCGGCCACAGGGCGCGAGTATCTTAGACGTATCAATTCAGGTCTCTGGCCCAAGGTTCTCAGTAAAGCTGAGCAAGCCCAGAGGAGCAAACACCTACAGTAGGTGCAGCGGAATTTTTCTTTCCATACCATCGCTACGCGATCAGGCAGATACTCCAGATACTCCTCCTCCTCCTCCTCCTCCTCCTCCTCCCCCTCCTCCCTCCTCCTCCCTCCTCCTCCTCCTCCTCCTCCTCCTCCTCCTCCTCCTTCCTCCTCCTCCTCCTCTCCCTCCTCCTCCTCCTCCTCCTCCTCCTCCTCCTCCTCCTCCTCCTCCTCCTCTCCTCCTGTATTCCTCCTCCTCCTCCTCCTCCTCCTCCTCCTCCTCCTCCTCCTCCTCGCGCCCGGGCGCCACCCCGGAGGCGGCAGCCCCGGAGGACCTGCCGCAGGCGCGCGCCTCCGCCACCTGGGCGGGGCGCTGCGCTCGCCTTAAGTCGGGCCTGTCCCTCTACAGGGGGAATATCCAAAGATAGTCAAACATAGTCTTTGACAATTTGGGGTATTCTTTGACCATTTGACCATTTGGGGGTATGTTTGGGGTATTTTTTGTTTTTCATCGAAAATCCCCCTGTAGGGGGATACGCCCGACTCAACGCTCGCCCCGGGGCGGAGTCGTCGGGGGTGGACAGAGCTCCTAGCCTGACACGTCGATGAGTGAATTGTCCGTTTTCGGTTTTCGAGAGGGCGCCACGGCCGTCATTTTCCAGGCTTGCGCCCGCCAGGCTTGGGCCCGAGGTCGTTTTCACTAGACCACGTTTTGCGAAAGGGACGTCTGTCCATCCCCGAAGTCGGGGAAGGCAGGGGCCCTCATCCGAGGCGGGGATCTCTACACACGGTGGGGGCGTTGGTCAAGGAGCGTGCACGGGAGGCTCCAGACCCTGGAGGGTCCCTTCTCTGATGAGGGCGGCGGCACCATCCACCGCCAATCCGCGAATGGAGTTCCGCTGGCTCCAGGCCCTGGATTCCTTGCCCAATGCTTCCCTATCCAATGCCCCCACCGTAGCTCGAAGACGAGAAAACGGGATGAGCATAAACTTTCGACGCTCCGCGCGGTTTTCTTTGATCGGCGCATGGGCCCTCCTGGCGGCGCCTCCGGCGCCGCCCCCGGCGCGCTCCGCGCGCCAGGGAGGGGGGGGTACAGCGCAGATCCAAGAAATCCGCGCGGATCATCGAAAGTTTAGGTTTGTGCCGTTTTCTCTTTTTCTAATAACCACCGCCTGGAGGGTCGATGTCCGACGACCTCGAGAGGCGGTGGACATGGGTGTATTCAGAAGGCTGGGGGCCTTCCGCCCTCCTCCTCCTCACTTCCGCCCCCTCATCTGGCTGCCGACTTGAGGGATGTTCATCTGGCCCAGGTTTGTGGAAGTCGATGAATGGAGAGGAAGCATGCTGCCAAATCATTTCCAGATGTTTAGAACATGTATTAAGCATGCTTTCAACATGTAAAAACATGTTAAACACATGCTTAGAACATGCTCCTACATTTTATTCACATTTCAGATTCAAAGGTAGGGCTGTTAGGGTGTCCATTGCCGTGGCATCCGCAAGCCTAGGTCCGACCGTACATGGGGGACTGGAACCCCCTGGATACATTTTTGATCTGCGGGGCGAGAGCGAACCTCTTCCGCTAAAAGCTAGGCGGGCTACGCACAGCTGTAATTAGGGAGACAGGGCACAGGAAGGCGGGGGCTCAGGCGGCCAGAGTGGGCGAAGCCCAGGGGTGCAGGCGGTGCCGAAGTGGAACGCCCCCTGGATACATGCAGTTGCCCCCCCCCCCCCCCCCCCTCCCCGCCGAGCCGGGCGCCCCCGTGGCAGCCGCCCCACGGGAAGGTACACGCAGACTCGCCCGCCCGTGGTCGTCTGCGGATTCTTGCGGCATGCACTACGGAGGGCTGGTCTTAAGTCGGGCCTATCCATCTACAGGGGGACTCTCCAAAAATAGTCAAATAGTCAGGGGGCTTTCTTTTCTTCATAAAAACAAAGAATGAAAGTGTTGCTGGGTATCCATTGAGTACTCGTTGAATCTCTTGTATTTTTCGTCCAACATCCCCCTGTAGGGGGGGACAGGCCCGACCTAAGGCTGGTCCAACTGCGGCTGGTGCCAAACGGGGCGCCCCAGAAGTGGCCTCGCCTTCGGGGGATCGAGGGGTTTGGGGGGAACACGCTGCCCCTCTGCCGTGGGGGACTCTTGTCTCGGAAGGGGGGAGCCGCGGGCGGCACGGTGCCTCTACACAAGTGGGGAGGAGGTCGCGAATTCATTCGGGGGTCGGGATTGAAGTGCCTCGAAGAGAGCGAATCGCAATTCTTCGGTGTACATATTTATATATATACATATGCATGATATGAATATATAGATATAGATGCCGACCGCTGACATTTTTTTATAGTATTTATACATATATATATGGTATATATGGTGCACACACACACATATATATATATATATATATATAGATGTCGACCGCTGACATTTTATATATGGCATATATATATATATATATATATATATATATATATATATATATAGAGATGCCGTCCTCCCTCGAGGGATCGCAGGGGTCGAGCTCTCCTCCTCGGCGGCAAGCCGGCGCCAGGCCGGCGGAGGCCCGCGGGAGGCCGAGCGAGGGGCAGCCCCGGGCGCGGAGGCGGGTCAGCAGGGCGGCAGCGGGCGAGGCGTCGCTCGGACTTGTGATTTTTTTCTTCGGCGAGAACCATGGAGGACCATCCTGGACAGAGAGCAAAAAGAAAAACACTTTTTTTAAATCCGCGGGTCCAGAGCGCACCTCTTCCGGTCGAAGCTAAGCGGGCCGCGCGAAGCTTGAATTAGGCAGAGGAGGGGAGGGAGGAAGCGGTGGAGCCTCAGAGCGAGGCCGAGAGGAGGCATAGCCTCGGATACAGGGAGCAAAAAGAAAAACACGCACGAAACCGAACAATGCACGGGAAATGGGCGTCCGAGCGACGGCGAGGTGGCGAGGCGTCTCGGCCTGCCTGCAGGCCCACCAGGGGAGTGCTCTGAGAGTTTTTTTTCTCAGAGGAGGAAAAGCTACCTATACCTCTACCCTCCCCCCGTTTTCCCCTTTTTGGGCCTCCTGGGAGGTCCACGTCGCCACCGCTGGATTCGCCCCGCCCGAAATCCTGGTCAGAATGCACCCCGGGAGAGGTCCGGGGAGTAGCGGTATCGGTACCTTTTGGTTTCCCCATTTTTGTGCTTTCCACGAGCTGTTCTCAGCACATTTCTGGCCGAGGCTCTCTCGCTCTCCAGCATCGGGCCCGTGTTCTAAGAACACGCTGCTTGCGTTCTCAGAACACTCTTGGGTCTTGCGAGCATTGCGTGGTAGGCCTATAGGAATACCGGGACGGTCGGACCCTGCTCAATGGAAGTGAAGGTCTGCCCTCCAATAAATGGCAGCATCTTTTGGGAATCAGGGTTACCGGATCGGGCCGCAAATCATGATATGAAATTGCCCCCTTTCCGACGCCGTCGTTTGGCTTGAACCATGCAATCGGTCGCGGTCATCTCGCGTCTCGCCCCAGAGGAAGGATCGGCGATCGATTTCGTTCTCGCAGTGGCTGGCGATGGACCATCTCGTGAGGACTATGACTGGGAAGACTATCGTGAACCTCCCGTGTGATGGCGATGCAGAAGGTGTGGTCCCTCCTGATCAGCAGCTTCTGGTCTGTGCAAGCAGGCATGACGAGGGAGACCTGGCCGTTGGCCTGCAAAAGGGAACATGTACCAGGCGGTACGTGTTTTGTTTTTCCTTTGGCGGACGTGCCGCCAGTCTTGTCGCAGTGTCTATTATCCTGGCCGTGGCCGTTGTTTTCAGCGTAGTAGCCGCTCGCAAGCGGGGTGTTTCTCGTAACGAGCCCATCAGTTCCGACATATCTAGCCTCGCAGAAAATTCCAGCCTTGGAGCCGCAGTGTGCATCCTGGGCCAACTGTCGCGGCTAGAGATTGAGAGCAAAATGCAGAACATTATAGAACCGCTCGCCAACTTTACAACAGTGAAGGTGTTCTTGTCTCTGGAGACTGGCGATCACGGGGTCTTCAACAATCGTATAACAGCAGATAAAGAGGATGTCCGATGCCCCAGCTCGCTGTTGGACGTGGATGGGGTGAAGGCAGCGTTTGCACCATATTTCAAAGACGGAGTGTTTGCGCCACATGTGGACGAGAATGTCACTTTGGAGAGGTGGCCGAAGCTGTACAAATGGAAGCACCCAGGCAACAACGCACATGACATCGCTCAACGAAGGATCCACATCGCCAACGTCGCCAGCCAACTGAGACACCAGAAGGTCTGCTCGGAGTTGATCCAACAGAGCGAGGTGTCTACAGGGGGTAAATACGATATTGTGGTCAAGGTCCGCGACAACACCATCGCGATGCGGCCTGTGGCGCCAGACAAGCTTCTATCAATCACAGAAGTCGTCCTCAAGGATTGTAGTAAGTGGGGTGGCGTGAACGATAAAGTCATGGCGCTCCCACGCAAGCATCTCGAGAAGAGCTTGGGCGCCACATATCCTTCCATGATAGCCGTCATGAACGATGACCCGCTGGATCATAAGCTACGGTCAATGTCGGATCAGTCCGCAAACACGGAACAAGTGGTCATGCATACGCTTGTTGGGAATGCCGTTCCTTTCCGCGAATTGACGTTCGAGAAGGGCGACCGAGATGGTGACAATTATCCAGCTGCCTGCGGCAACCCCCGCCACCGTACCGGCTGAGCATTCTCGGTGGCAGCCGCTCGAAACGATGGTGGTGACGATGCTGATGCTGATGCCAGTGCTGATGCTGCTGTTGACGATCATGATAATGGTGATGATACTGACGATGACTAGTATGCTGATGATGGTGCTGCTGATGATGACGATGCCGCTGACGATGACATGATGAGGGGGACGGGGAGGGGAGGAGAATGATTGTGGCGGCCGAATGGGGCGGAATAACACGACGGGGATGCTGCTGAACACGACGCTCACCGACAATCTGATGCTTCCGATGGTACTACTATAATAGTGATGACGATGAGAGGATGATGAGAGGATGCTGGGAGAATGGTGAGGGTTGGGGTAACATTATGGCGGTCGCGGGGGATTACCAGCATGATGATGGTGATGCTGATGATGATGATGCTGATGCTGCTGGTGATGATGATGAACACTATGATGCTGCTGATGATGATGATGATGATGATGATGATGATGATGATGATGATGCTGGCGATGATGCTTATAATGATGAAAATGGCGATGCAGGCGCACATGATACTTAAATTGGTAATGCTGCAGGTGCTGCAGGTGCTGCTGCTGCCCACGGTAACGACAACGATTATGCACATGCTGATCATGATGATGATGCTGATGATGATGATGATGATGATGATGATGATGATGATGATGATGATGATGATGTTGCTGCTGATGATCATGATGATGAGGATGCTGTTGCTGCTGTTGATGATGACGATGCTGATGATGCTGCTGATAATGATGATGATGGTGGTGATGATGATGACGATGTTGATGATGTTGACGATGCTGCTGACGATGCTGATGCTGATGCTGATGGTGCTGATGATGCTGGTGATGACGATGATGCTGATGTTGATGCTGATCCTGTTGATGATGCAATTGCTGGTGATGATGATACTGATGCTGACGATGCTGGTGATGATGACGACGATAATGAGGATGATGATGAAGATGGGGATGAGGATGAAGTCGTCGATGATGATGCTGATGATGATGCTGACGACGTCGATACTGATGATGATGCTGATGATGCTGATGATGCTGATTATGATGAGGATGCTGATGATGCTGATGCTAATGCTGATGATGCTGATGATGCTGATGGTGATGATGTTGATGATGATGATGCTGATGATGCTGATGCTGCTTATGATGATGGTGCTGATCATCATGGTGCTGATGATAATGCTGATGATGCTGATGATGCTGATGATGCTGATGATGCTGATGCCGATGATGCTTATGATGATGCTGATGATGCTGCTGCTGATGATGTTGCTGCTGCTGATGATGATTATGCTGATGTTGCTGATTATGATGCCGATGATGCTGATGATGCTGATGTTGATGCTGATGCCGATGTTGATGTTGATGACGATGATGATGATGCTGATGACGATGATGATGTTGATGATGCTGATGATGATGATGATGATGGTGGTCGCGGCGCTGGTGGTGGTGATGATGATGCTGCTGCTGATGATGCTGATGCTGATGATGATGGTGATCTGCTGATGATGATGCTGATGATGATGCTGATGATGATGACGATGATGATGATGATGCTGATGATGATGATGATGATGATGATGATGTTGATGTTGATGATGATGATGATTATGATGATGTTGATGATGATGATGATGATGATGATGCTGATGCTGATGATGATGACGATGACGATGATGATGATGATGATGATGATGATGATGATGGTGATGATGATGATGATGATGCTGATGATGATGATGATGATGATGATGATGACGATGATGATGATGATGATGATGATGATGATGATGCTGATGATGATGATGATGATGATGATGATGATGATGACGATGATGATGATGATGATGATGATGATGATGATGATGATGATGATGATGATGATGATGATGATGATGATGATGATGATGACCCCCCCTCACGGGCCCGCAGGCGGGCCCTCCAGGGACGCGCGCACGGCGCGGCCCCGCTCAGAGCCCCCCGCGCCCCCGACACCGCACGGCGGAGACGGGGAGGGACAGCGCTCCCAGGGGCCCGAGGCTTTCCATGGGAAATCGAAGTTTAACTTATGGGAAAGCACGGGCCTCGTTCCTCATCGCCGCCCACCAGACCACCCCAACCCAACCCGAAGGCTTCAACTGGCCCACCATGTCCAGTGGGGGGGGGGTCGGGGAACACTGGAAACACACGTATGGAACCCGTACCCCCCCCCAGCCCGAAGCTCGGGTCTTCGGCTCAGGTTGGGGTGGGCCAGTAGGCAGTCAGATGGGGGGGGGGAGGCCTAAAATCTCGACGGATGTTTTGCTGATTCTGGGTCGGTGGAAAATTATTCCCACCAGCCCTTTGGGCGTGAGTGGTTTAGCGAGCTCTCTCTGTTCTCAACCCCCCTTCTTCCCCTTCGGGGAGGGGTTTAACCCTCCCCCTACCCCCTCCCCCTGGACCTGGAGAGGTCCTTTCGCGGGTTGTCAGAGGGGTCTTTTTCGACTCCTGGGAGGGCTAAAAAACGACACCCCTCACAGGAGCGTCTTGGGTGCCTTGGGGGAGCCTCTTCGGGCCTCTTGGGAGCCTCTTGGAGGCCGTTTGGGGCGTCTTGGGGGCCTCTTGGCGGCTCCAGGGGCTTCCAGGAGCGTCTTGGGTGCCTCGGGGGAGCCTCTTGGGGGCCTCTTGGGGGCATCTTGGGGGCCTCTTGGAGGCCTCTTGGGGCCTCTTGGGACTCTCTGGGAGGGGTCTGGGAGGAATCTTGGGGCCATCTGTGGGGCGATCGATCACAGATGAGGCGAGCACTTTTCTGCCTCCCCCCGTCGGGGCCAGAATCCTCGTGAGGGGTGTCGAATTTTAGCCCTCCCAGGAGTCGAAAAAGACCCCTCCAACGACCTGCGGGGCGCCCGACGATGCGTCGGCAGAGGCTGTCCACGTCGTCGGTGGTGTTGCAGGGGTGGTCCTCCGTGGCAGCTGCCTGGAGCGCCTCTGGCAGGGGAGGGAGGGGCAGCTGTGGGTCATCCCTCTCATTCCTGTCGTTAGGGTGCACCTTGAGAGCTCCACGCGCACCCTGCAAATGGTGCTCCTGGCTGCGCTTGAGGACGCGCTGGGCGGCCCTGTGCTGGTGGAAAGACTTGTCGACTTCGGTGCGCGAGAGGACGCGGTGCGCAGTGTCCTTGCGCGCGGCAAGTAGCCATAGTCGGTGGGCGCGGCGGCTTGGCAGCGCGCCACGATGTCGAAGTCGTTCGACTCGAGACCAGGATGCCCTCGACGGCGTGCAGCCGCCAACCAGCCGCCCCATGGAACTTGGAGGGCTCCACGTTCCAGTCCCCGCCCAGCACGAAGGGCTTGCAGGACTCGAAGAAGACCTCGCCCAGCTGGGAGAGGACGACCTGGGATTCTGTGCCGAGGCTGTCGTTGGCGAGGTGGGCCGCATCACATAGCATACCGCCTTTGAGCCAGCAGCGTACGTGGGTCAGCGTGCACCTACCATTGGCAACATGTTTGCCGCCTGACCGAGCAGGACCGCACCTGCCGCGAGCCGCTGAGACCTTCGCCGCTATACCGCCAGAAACTGCGCGCACCCTGTCGATATCGGACGTTCCCGCGCGGGACCTGCTTGGAGTAATAGCGCACGAAAGACCGCAGTGTCGGCCCACTGCTCAGCGTGGATAGCTGGCTGGTCGTGGAGCAGGGTCTCCCGCATGAGGTAGACGTCAGCATAGTGGTAGTTCACGCAGGCTGAATTGGTCGGGGGTTCGGAGCCTCTGCCCGAGGTGTTGGCGGTGGTGGTGACGAGCCTGCCGTTGAGATCGTCGTCGTCGTCGTCGTCGTCGTCGTGGCCGGACGCAGGCCGGGCAGATCGCCGTCGGCGCTTGGCTTCGCGGCTGAATCCCTGTCGCGTGCGCTCGAACTGCTCGTGGGCCGAGTCGGTGGCGCCTGGGCGGTGGCTTCTGTCCCCGCGGCTACCTCGAAGACGGCTTGGTGGCTGGCTGGGTCCTGTGCTTCTTGGCCTTGGAGGGGAGCTCGACCAGGCGGCACTTGACGTCGGCGGTCCCGGCTTCGCTGGTCTTGTTGTCTACGCCGCCACCTAAGCCAGCAGCCGAAGGATCACCAGCAAGCTTGTCGGCGTCAACAGCGAAGATATTATCTTTCTGTATGCTGGCGAGGAGGATGTCCACGTCCATGTTTTTCTTTGCGCTGGGCAGAGCCACCGGCTGTGGGGTCTGGGCAGCGTCACCACTGGCAGGCTGCGCGGCAGCGGCGGACTGGGCGTCGGCGACCTTTTGCTTGGCAACGTTGAGGAGCGTGGTGGAGGCGGCTGCGAGCCCTTCTCCTTGGAACTGTTCCTGGAAGTCAGTTGGCGTGGACTCGACGGTGGCGGCCTCGGCGGAGTCGGTGGGTACGCCCTGCGTGGCGAGCACCTCCTCGGGCGCGGCGACGGACTCCTTCCGCAGAGCTGCTCCAGCTTGGACTCGAGGTCCGTGATGGCGCGTTGTTGCTTCCGATGGCCTTGTCGCACTTTTGGATTTGGTCGTCGTATTCGCGGACGTGCACGAAGGTGGCGTGGCTGGCGCTGCGTTCCGCGAGCACTTGTTTGAGGCGGGTCTGCTTCTCCCCAATGGTCGTTAGGGCGCCAGCGATGTTATTGATGGCCGCGATGCCCCGCCTGAGCTGTGCCGCCCCTGTGGTCTCGGCCCGCACGACGTCGTCGACGGAGGAGGCGGTCACGAGCTTGCGCGCAGCCGTCCTTCTCCAGCTGGGCGATGCGCTTGCGGCTGGAGCTGCGCGGCTGGCGGCGGGCTTCGTTAGGCTTCTTTTTGGACTGGTCGCGCGCCCGGCACGCCGTGCAAGCTGCCCAGATTCCTCTGAGACCACAGGCGCCGCACGTTCGCGTCTCGTCGCGGCTCGCTCGGCCTACGCCAGCAGCCGCCTGTCGCGGCGGGCTATCGGGCATGGACGGCCGCGGCAAGGCGCGGTGGTGGGCGAGCAACCGACGCGCCCCGTCCAGGCGGACCTGGTGCCTCGCCTTGGTCCGCTGCCGCCGCGCACGGCGGTGCCAGGCAGGCGATGGCGAGCGCCGCGGCGCTCGCGGGGGCCCAGCAGCACCAGCTGCCGAGCGCGAGGGGGGCCCAGCAGCACACGCCACCGAGCACGAGGAGGGCCCAGCAGCAGCAGCCGCCGAGCGCGCGGTGGCCCACGGGGCCGAGGGGTGCCGCGCCGCCGCGCGGCGGGCGACTCGCAGGAGGCCGAGCGCGGGGGGCTCGAGCTCGGGTCGTGGTGGCCCGCGCGAGGGCAAGGCTGCCGCTGGAGCCAGAGCCCTCCCCAGCCTCTGCTGCTGCTGCTGATGATCATGGTGAGTGGTGGTGATGGTCACGATGGTGATGACGAGGATCAGTACGAGGACGAATCTGGTGGTGATGGTGGTGATGGTGCTAGTGATGGTGATGGTGACGATCATGCTGGCGGTGGTGGAGGTGGTGGTGGCGGTGGTGGTGGCAGTGCTGCTGCTGATGCTGCTGATGTTGTTGTTGATGATGATGCTGAACATGATGATGATGATGCAGCTGATGCTGCTGCTGATGATGTTGTTGATGATGACGGTGATGATGGCGATGATGCTGCTGCTGATGATGATGGTGCTGATGATGATGAGGTGGTGATGATGACGATGATGCTGATGATGATGATGATGATGATGATGATGGTGCTGAAGATGATGATGATGATGATGATGATGATGATGATGATGATGATGATGATGATGATGATGATGATTCTGATGACGAGGACGATGACGATGACGACGACGATGCTGATGATGCTGGTGGTGATGATGATGATGCTGATGCTGATAATGATGATGCTGATAATGATGATTATTACGATCCTGCAGCTCATGTTGCTGCAGATGATGGTTCTTGTGATTATGATGATGATTATGATGACGACGCTGATGCTGATGATGCTGATGATGATGATGATGATGGTGATGATGCTGATGCTGCTGATGATGATGACGATGATAGTGATGCTGCTGGCAAGCTGGCTGGCTGGCTGGATGGATGGATGGATGGATGGGGTTGGGATGGGGATGGGGCTTGGGATGGGGATGGTGATGATGATGAATGATGAGGATGCTGATGATGATGATGATGATGATGATGATGATGATGATGATGATGATGATGCTGATGCTGATGCTGATGCTGATGCTGATGATGATGATGGTGGTGATGATGATGATGATGGTGATGATGATCTGATGATGCTGCTGCTGATGATGATGCCGATGATGATGCTGATGCTGCTGCTGATGATGCAGATGATGCTGCTGATGCTGATGCTGCTGCTGATGCTGCTGCTGATGCTGATGCTGATGCTGCTGCTGCTGCTGCTGATGATGATGATGATGATGATGATGATGATGATGATGATGATGATGATACTGATGCTGATGCTGATGCTGCTGCTGATGATGCTGATGCTGATGCTGCTGCTGCAGATGATGATGATGATGCTGATGCTGCTGCTGGTGCTGCTGCTGCAGATGATGATGCTGCTGCTGTTGATGATGATGATGATGATGATGATGATGATGATGATGATGATGATGATGATGATGATGATGATGATGATGATGCTGACGCTGATGCTGCTGCTGATGATGATGATGATGATGATGCTGACAATGATGATGATTATGATGATGTTGATGATGATGCTGCTGCTGATGATGATGATGCTGACAATGATAATGATTAGGATGACTATGTTGATGATGATGATGATGCTGCTGCTGATGATGCTGATGCTGATGATGATGCTGCTGCTGATGATGATGCTGATGCTGATGCTGATGCTGCTGCTGATGATGATGCTGATGATAATGATGATGATGATGATGATGATGATGAATGATGGTGATGGTTATGATGATGATGATGATGATGATGATGATGATGATGATGATGATGATGATGATGATGATGATGATGATGATGATGATGATGATGATGATGATGATGATGATGATGATGATGATGATGATGATCATGATGATGCTGCTGCTGATGATGATGCTGATGATGATGATGCCTGCTGCTGATGACGATGCTGATGCTGATGCTGATGCTGATGCTGATGTTGATGCTGATGCTGATGCTGATGCTGATGACGACGACGACGACGACGACGACGACGATGATGATGATGATGATGATGATGATGATGATGATGATGATGATGATGATGATGATGAGAGGAGGAGGAGGAGGAGGAGGAGGAGGAAGGAGGAGGAGGAGGAGGAGGAAAGGAGAAGGAAGGAGGAGGAGGAGGAGGAGGAGAGGAGGAGGAGGAGGAGGAGGAGGAGGGGGAGGAGGAGAAAGAAGAAGAAGAAGCGGAGAGCCGCCCATGAATGTCATCTGGGCCGTCTTGGGGATGTCTTTGGCTCCTCTGGTGCAGTCTTCGCCGGTCTGGGGCCCTGTTTGGGCCGTCTTGTGGCCCTGTTGGGCAGTCTTGGGGCCTGCGTGGCCGTCTCGGGAGCCTCTTTGGCCGTGGTGGGGTCGCGTTGGGTCGCCTGGGAGTCCTCTTGGGCCACCTTGGGCCCCTCCGGATGCTCCCTTTGGGCCAGCTTGAGGCCCTCTTGAGTCCGTCCTGTGCCCAGGGGCCCTCTCTGGCTGTATTGTGGCCGCTCTGGAGGCCTCTTGGGCGATCCTGAGGCGCTCTTGAGCCGTCGTGGGGAAATCTTGGAGCCTTCTTGGATCGTCCTGAGCTCGCGGAATCCCGAAAAGGTGAGAATGCGACCATCCATCAAGAGCCTACGGAAAATCAATGATGCTGGCCTCTTCGGGTCCTGTTGAAGGTTCTCTTCGAGCCCTCTTGGGCCGTCTTGTGAGCCTCTTGGGCAGTCCTGGGGCCACCTTGGACAGTCTTGGGGCTGTATGGGGCCGTCTTGGGGAGCACCTTGGGCAGTCTTGGAGCTTTGCCTTGGAGCTTTGCCTTGGGCGTCTTCGGTGGCCTTGGAGCTCTGCCTGATCCGTCTTGGAAGCCATTTGAGGCATCTTGGATACCCTGGAGATCGCCAGGGAGGCGTCGGCGGCATCGGGAGAGGGGGGGTCTGCATGCAACAGTCCGCTACTCGAGGGGGGGCGGCCGAGAAGAAGCCATAATCCCTACCGGGCAGCACTTGGTACTATACTACGCCTCAGCGTGCCAGGGGGCACGATGGCGAATCTGCCTTTCGTGGACGGCAGGTGCTATGCTGGCAAGGAGCCAGGAAGCGAAAACCGTTGGTGCATCGTGTCTCACTGCAAGGACTGCTGGCCGAGCACACCCTGGACGTACAACGTTTCCTGCGAGGTGGCCGTGACTGGTACGGAGGCTGCCGGTGCGCTCCCAGATCCGACCTCGCCGCTCGACGATCATCCCGACCCAACGCGGGAGTGCTACCACTACTACTACTACGGAGACGACGGCGACAAGGGCGACGACCACAACTGACGCAGGGGCCGAGGCGCGGCGAGGTGCTATATCGATCTAGTTCAGAGCCGCGGCGAGAGCGCGTCTGCCATGCGGTCGACCGCTTCTGATGCGACCGCCTCTGGCTCGTGTCTGTAGGTGTGAGTGTGGCGTGCTCCAGGCATCGCTGTCTGTTACACAGACGGTAAGCGCCATGCTGTTTTTTATGTGCATATCGGCCTGTAGGGGAGCCGGGCGCAATTCAGGAACCCTTTTCGACCAGCCTCGCGAAGCCGAGTGCCGACCAGGAAGTACTCATCCGCTTGGTCCCGCGCTATGTGAATATTTAGTTGTACACGTATATGTGTGTGTATATATATATATGTATACATACATCTCCATATCTCATGGCTGTTGGCCCATCCCGCCACCTTGCCTGTGCGGTGGTTCAGATGCCTCTTGGATGGATATGCGGGTCTTGGGACGCCTCTCGGGGACCTCTTGGGGGCCTCTTGGAGCTTCTGGGGGACCTCTTGAGGGCCTCTTGGGGCGTCTTGGAGGCCTCTTGGGGGCCTCTTGGGGCGTCCTGGGGGTGCCTCGGGAGCCTCTGGGGGGCACTTGGGGCCGTCTCGGGGCGGAAGGCTCGAACAGTCCGTTTGTGCTCCTCCTCTTGGGTCCTTCTTGGGGCCTCTTGGGTCGTCTTGGGGGCCTCTTGGGCCATCTTGGGGTTTTCTTGGGCCGTCTTTGGGCCCCCCTGGGTAGTCCTGGGGCGTCATTGGGGGCTTCTTGGCCCGTCTTGGAGCGATGGAAGCTGACAGGGCCAGAAGGCAAACATCTTACAGTAACCCTCGGGCAATCAATGATTTTGGCCTCTTAAGGGCCCTCTCGTATGGAATAATCGCCCGCGGCCGGTGATTCGTGACGAGAATGGACCTTGGTGAGTAACTTCCTCGGAAAAAGGATAGACCCAAGTGCACGATTCCCAGGTGATGTGAAAGTCGCGCGGCGCGCCTACGAAGGCACACCCGAGCAGGTGTATCCGCGAAGGTGACCTCGGCAGGTGTTCCTAGGAATGCGCGCCTGGCCCGTTGCTACAATGGTGCCCCAAGGCAGGTGCATCTACGAAGATGCACCTGGGAAGGCGTGTTTTCGCAAACGCACCTAGAAAGGTGCACCCGGGAAGGCGCATTCGGGGCCTCTTGGGGCGTTTTGGGAGTCTTTTGGGGCGTCTTGGGGGGGGGGGTCGGGAGCCTCTGTGGGGCTCTTGGGGGCATCTTGGGGCGGAATGCTCGAAATGTCCGTTCGTGTTCCCCCTCTCGGGTCCCTGGGCCCCTTTTGGGTGCCTCTTGGGCCGACTTGGGGGCCTCTTGGGTCGTCTTGGGGCCCTCTTAGGGCGTCTTGGGGCGCTCCCTGGGGCCTCCTGGGCAGTCCCGGGGCGCTTTGGGGGGCCTCTTGGCCCGTCTTGGAGCGCTGGAAGCTGAAAAGGGCGAGAAGGCAAACATTTTGGAAGACACTAAGGACAATCATCGATTTTGGCCTCTTAGGGTCCTCTTGTGTTGGACGCCCTTGGAGCTTTTTGGGGGCATCTTCTGCCGTTTTGAGGCCATCTTGGGCGTCTGGGAGCGATTCTGGGGCGAACGGGTGCCCCGTCTTCGCGGCCTGCCTTGGGGCACTCCGCTTCGTGCCAAGGCACGGCGCCGGATTCCTCTAACAATGGATTCTGCATGGGCAACCCACCGTGATGCCCCCCCCCCCCCCCCCCGGGGATAGCCCCCAGATTTTCCTTCCCCAAGGCGGCCCTCCCCAAACTGCTGTAAGGCAGCCCGAGAGGGCTTCAAGACGGTCCAAGGGCGCTCCAGGAGAGCCCAAGACTGCCCCAGAGCGTTCCAAGATGGCCAAAGACGGCTTCAAGACGGTCCAAGAAGGCCCCACGACGGCCACATGTGCCCTTGAGAGGCCCTCCCAGAGGGTTTGAGGAGGCCAAGGCCATACATTCCTTCAGGTTTTTTGAGGTTTGTAGGTAGGTTTCTCGCTTTCTCAGGCGTCCGACGGCCCAAGATGGCCCAAGATGCCCCGAATATCGCTCCGAGCTGTCCAAGAGGCCCCCTAAGAACACCCGAAAACAGTCCAAGACAGCCCCACGGCAGCCCTAAGACAGTCCCAAGAGGCTTTCAAAGGAGCTCCAAGAGCGTCCCAAAGCGCTCCCAAGAGGGCTCCAAAGGGCCCGAAGAGGGCCCCAAGACGGCCAACGCCCCCCAAGATGAGCCAAAAAATGCCCCAGGACGGCCCCAAAGGGTCCGAAAATAGTTCAAACTTGTGTTTTGTTTTTTTTGTTTTTGTTTTCTTGGTTCTCACTTTACCATGTCAACACAACAACTAACTCCAAGCACCAAGGCTACTAGTGTGATGCCTTCAGCCCCACGGCGGCACAGTGACGGTCATAGTTTCGACGCCAAAGCTCCCGCCCCCAGACGGCCCAGTGACGTCCCTTCGGGGCCTTCAACGACCCACCCTCCCCCTCATTCTTTCTCTCCCTTCATCCTCCTCCTCCTCCCCCTTCGCTCCCTCCTCCTCCTCCTCCTCCTCCTCCTCCTCCTCCTTCGAACCCTCCTCCTCTCCGGAGGAGGAGGAGGAGGACACCGATGGGGACTCTTGGGACTGGTTCGGCTTCTTCCTACACGGTACGCGGCGCGCGTCAGTGGAACGTCCAGCGCCGTGGTGCGCTCGTCCCCGTTCCCTCCACGTTATTTTCCCTCCGGGCTCCTGCTACTTCCCCTTCTTGGGCCTTCTGGGCCATTAGTGGAGCCCTCTTGGAGGCCCTTGGGGCCTGGGGCAATCTTGGAGGCCTGTTCGGCCGCCTGGGGCGCCCTGAAGATCGAAAGGGCGAGCCTGCTCCAAATCATGCAAGAGTTCGGGTGCCAACCAATGGTTCTCGCCTGTCGAGGACTTCCTTGGAATCCCCTCGGGGGCCTCTTGGGCCGTCTTGGGAGCCTGTTGGGCCGCTTGCCGGCCTTCTTGGGCCCATCTTGGGGCACTTTTGGTGCGCCTTGGCCGTAATGGAAAAGCTCCTCAAGCCTTCTGGGGCCTTGAGGGCCGTCTGGGGCCGTCGTGGGCTCATCCAGGGCGCCCAGGACCCAGCTTCCCAGGCTGAAACCCCAGTTGTGGTGGATGATGTTTCGACGAATAGAGGAACCGATCGTATTAGTGCAGCTTTACTGTATACAGCGCAGGGCAACGCTCTGGATTAATACACATGCTCCTTATTTTGAGAAGCTGTGCCGATGAACCCAGATGGCACAGTCTTACAATCCATCCAGCTTCAAGTAGGCACCCTGCAGGTGTGCCTGCTGGTCTGCGCTGAGCCGAGAGAAAGTCGGCGTCGGCGAACTGCTCTGCCTCCTGCTGCTCCTCGTCCTCAGGCATATTCAAGGCTTGTCTAAGCTCAGGAAGCATTCGATCATGTTGGCGGTTTGCGAATGCTGGCACTCCGCGCGATAGAACGACATCGTTGGCGTTCCAGGCCCCATGCGACAATGCACCCTGTTCGCGCTGTCCCGGGTTCATGACGTGCGGCATCCGTGTGTTCCCCTTGTCTACGCTCGGAGTCTCGTCACCCCATGGATCCTGCAGCTTCAGGCTCTCGTGCCAGCGCCAATTCCTGCATTGCCCTGGCATCGCTCGGACGTGTGCATTTTCCTCGGCGAGGACCATCGAGGAGCCTCCTTGATCATCTGGCGAAAAAGCCACGCACGAAACCGAAAAAAACACAGGGAATGGACGTCAGAGCGATGGCAGAGGCGGTGCACCCAACTCTTTCCTCGTGTGCCTCGACTGCGCTGGCTGGCAGCCGCTGCTTGCCAACCGCATCCCAGCCTAAACCGACGGTCCCAGACCCCATCCCACGTTTCGGGTTGGGGGGGGGTGGTACGGGTTCCACCGTGCTTGCCGATGCTCCGCAGTGGCCCCCCCCCCCAGACAGTGACCCCAACGGTGACTTCGAGTTGGGTTGGGGTGGTCTGGTGGGCAGTCAGAGAGTCGGCCACCACACATCCTCACTCAGCTCATCCCCCGAGAGGCCGATGAGACGGAGAGGCACGCCGAGACCCGCGCGCACGAGGAGGCCGACGAGAGGGAGAGCGGCTACGGAAGCTTCGAGACCGAGTCGCGGTCCTCCCGATCACGGTCTTCGTCGAGCAGGGTAAGCGCACCCTTTTGCTGTAGCGTAGGCCAGAAGTTTATGGTGGAATCTGTCATGTGTGCTGAGAGGGTTCGATCCCAGCATTCCGCGCGCCAGTGCCGAGGGGAGGCATCGATCACACACGATACGGTTTTCGCTGCACGGGAAGGCTGAGCTGAGGACCCATGGACGCAATTGCGGTGGAGGGGTGGTGGCAGGGGTAGGGTTCGCACGTGGTCCCCGAAAGATTGGGAAAACGGGTTGCAAGGATAGCCGAGGCACGGGAGAAGAGATATGTTATTCGGAGATGGGCGGGGCGTTGGATGCAGGCTCCATTTCGATCCGATCGCTTCGATTCGACGTCGGCTCTGACCGGCAAGATCCGATTCGAGCTCGACTTTTAGCGGGCAACCAGCGGTATGACATAAACTTGTCCGCCGTCGGGGGCGCCTGCCCCTGGGCGGCTGGAGGTCGCCATCGTAGGGGTATAATGCACTTCCAGCCGCCCTGGGACAGGCGCCCCCGACATCGAAACAGTTTATTGCATACAGTTCTCCGCCCCTCGATATGCTCCAGAGATCCGCTGCGGCCCGAGGTCTGCTCCCCGGCGCAGCCGATCCGCTCCGAGGTTCGACGCCGTGCCGGCGCGGCCCGATCCGACGCGCGTCCCCGTCCGAGTCGCTTTCCCGATCCGCTGCTGACTGATCCTTCCGGCCGCGCGTCACCTCAACATA